CAATTAATTTTTCCACTCCTTCAGGTGTTAGTTAATTCATTACAAGTTCCACACAATGTGTGCATAGTGACTCAAACCATTGAACAAGATCTTTTTACAAGTTCCCACAACTTATCTTTTCGTGACGATCATTATTTGCTCTTCTATAAAATTATTTATTAACATCTCCGTTATTTTCTTTTTCAGACTGTATAACTGATTTGAATATTTTGTCTTACTAATTTAACACCAAGGCAAGATAATGAATGACCTTCTCTTGTAAGAATTACAGAACGTACATAATGAAGATGTTCTTTAAGGTGTGGATTTTGATTACTATAGATCTGCAGGAAATGTCATGCTATGAATTAATATTTTCGTGTATTGATGTTAACTGACGATGGCATCACTTCGTAACTTAGATATCCCTTTTTACCCAAAATACTTTAAATTAATTAATTTCAATAGTGTTAAAAAATCCAATTTCAATCTTCCAACAAACATTTTATCACCAGAAATTGTTAAAGCAGTTAATGCCAAGCATTCTAACAAAAACAAAAGAAAACGATCTGCAGCAGCTGCTAAAAGAACTAACAAAAAAAATAATAACTACTTCAGTATATTTACCAAATTAGCATCATTAAATTCATTCGTTAAATAATGACTTCTACACTAACATCTTTATTTAATTCGTGAGTCTCAACAGCGCCAATCAATTCATTAACTTCTATGCAAACATCCTTATTCAATTCATTAGCATCAGCCATTCCATTAACTTCTATACACAACGTCCTTCCTTATTCAATTCATTAGAACCAATAGCATCAGCCACTTCATTAACTTCTACACCAACATCCTTATTCGATTCATTAGATTCAACAGCAACGGTCATTTCATTGACTTCTACACTGACACCAACATCCTTATTCAATTCATTAGGCTCAATAGCATCAGTCAATTGATCAACTTCTTTTACACAAACATTTTTATTCAATTCATTGACTTTTTCTACACAAATATCCATATTTAATTCATTAGACTCAACAGCAATGGCCATTTCCTTGACTTTTTATACTGGCACTGACATCCTTATCCAATTCATTAGATTAACTCAACGACAACAGTCATTTAATTGACTTTTAAATCACCAACATCCTTATTCAATCCAACAGAGAGGGATTGATTATAGAAAGAAAATTTTAAATTCAATTGAAACAATTTAAGATCAAAAAGGTGATGTGATAATGGTATCAATGAGCTTTGTCAAAAACATCAATTAAAGTCAATATAATAATCATATAGCAACAACAGTAATAATGTTTGTAGTAATTCAGCG